TTGTTGTCACTGCTGCTGGCTGAGCCAGGGGAGGATGCTCTGCAGCCTCAGGAACAACGCAGATGCAGATCCGAGTGTTCAAGTCTGCCTTGGTGCCAGGGGTCACCTGGGCCCCATGTTACCTGGCAGCATAGTACTGCTTTCCAGGCCGCCTGGCCTCACTCTGCCTCAGACAGGGTGGTCTCCCCTCCCGGAGTTACACCAGGAAGTGCTGTGGCATTCATGCCAGTTATCCTGAGTTACCTTGACTTCTAGCGCATTGACTCTCCTTTTTCCTGTCCAGGGCATCTCACACTTGGCCCCAGCACAGTGAGAGCTCTGCCGTTGGCTTTCCCAGCATTCCTTACTTTTCCTGTTAGTGAGGAGTCTCTTGGTGCTCCCTAACCCTTGGCAAGCCCTGTCAGCTTTCGAGTGGACCATACAGCACATAGGAGGCCACTGTGGCCCTCCCAGGAATGTCAGGGTATCCTGCCTTCTGCTGCTGGAAAGCCCCACCCTTTTCCCTCCTCCTGAGCAGCAGTGCTCTCACAYTGTTGACCCCTCCCTGGGTACCTCCTGAACCTCAGCAGGTTTGCGCTCACAGCCACCTCAGCACACTGAGGGGCACGCTGGCGTCTGCGTAAGCGTCTTCAGCTGTCTGTCATTTAGTAGACGCGCGGTGCCGGACTTGTGAGCTCTTTGCCCACTTGAGGAGAAGCCCCGCGAGGGCAGGGGTTCTGCTGCCCCCGCCCCCCCACCCCGTGTGTCTGCCGAGTGGCCACGCCGCAGGCACCCGGGCTCTGCTGGTCCGTGGAGGTAGGGCCCTGAATCTGCGCGCTACGAAGGAAGAGGGCTTCACGTTTTTGGAGGGGATTGAGTTGGCGGCTGAGGAAAGGAGTGGGCTGTTTCCTAGAAGTGAGGGTGTGGAGGAGCTGGACCTGAGGGCCGAGTGTGGCCCAGTCTCCGGGACTCTGACCCCTCTCCCCTCCTGTCCTCCCGGCGCCGGCCGGCCGGGAGGAGGGCCGTGCGTGCGGGGAAGTCCGGAGCCTGGGGCTCTGGGCGCAGCCCCCGCACCCCGCTSCCTGGCCCTGCGTGCGCTCGCCCTGCTGGGCCTGGCCGCGTCGCCGCCCGGGCGGCCGGGCCAGGACTCCGGGGCGCGGGGACCCCGCGGCGGGCGGGGCGCGGGCGGCCGGTCTGACGTGTCTCGGCGGGATTGGAGCCGCCGCCCTATATAGCAGCGGCGGCCCGGGCGCCGCGCCTCGAGCGTCCCGGCTTCTCGGTAGCGGGCGCGGACCGACGCGCGGACGGCGGGACCACGAGTGAGGCCGGGGGCGGGGGGCGCGGGCCGGGACCCTGGGACCCCGGGACCCCGGGACCCCGGGACCCCGGGACCCTGACCTAGGTCTGCGCGTGCCTGCCCGGGCGGGGCTGCTACGTGTCCTTGCGCATGGCCGCCGCGCCGGCAGAAACTTTCCCAAGTGCGCTTTGGCGGCTGGGCCTGGTGCTGGGGGCGCGGGGCGCGGGGCAGGGAGGCGGGGGGCCGGCTGCCCTGGGCCGCCCGGCCGGGCCGCACCTCCACCTGCCGCGCCGAGCAACGTGGTGGCGGGCAGGCAGCTTGCTCCTCGGTTCCTCGGCTCGGGCTCCTCGGCCCAGCGCGACCTGGACGCGCCCCAGGGTCCGCGGGTGAAAAATGCATTACGGAAAAATACCGAATTTGGATGAAAGGCCAGGAGGCCGAGTGGGATACTGTCCCTTTAAGCCTGTCCCCGCCCGCGGGCGCTCGTGGCCTGTGGGAGGGACGTGCTGAGGTGGCATCTGCGAAAGTTCCTCCGCTGGCCGGGTCTGACTTCCAGAGCTGGGTAGAACGGCGCCGGCCTGCCTGTGCACCCTGCGCCCCCACTGCTTGCAGACTTGGATTTCGTGATCTTTCAGTGGAGCAGGACTTTATATTTATTCTGGAGTTTGTGGTCTTGGGTACTTTGAAAAATACGTTCCTTGCGAGACTTCAGAGGACGTGAAAGTAAGCAGCTTTATCTCTGCTGGAGGGGGTTGGTGCTTTCCCCCACCCCGCCAGACACCGTGGCTGGTCTCAGCAGTCTCTGACACAGAAGGCCCTCGAGGCATGGCTCAGGAGCTCTCTGCAGACGCCTGTCCCTTACACAGATAGTTGGCACTCAGATACTTCCTTGTTGAGAAGTAAACACAATTCTATGGTTAAATCCTTCCTTGCTGTCTGCTTGTTAGCCAGGTTTCCAGCCAGACCTCCCGGGATCTCCCAGCTGTCTCCCGTGCCTTCTCACTTCCATCTCCCTTGTGGCCCCCACTGGATGTTCTTCCACCCCCTTTCTTGGGATAAARGAGGAAGCTCTTGGCTTCTGCCTTTCTTCCAATGGTTCTGATTCTGTTAGCTGCATGCTTGGATTTTGAGATGTGGCTTTTTAAAAAATATTTTTTTAGTTGTAGATGGACAAAATATCTTTAATTTTTATATATTTATTTATTTGTATGTGGTGACTTTTTTTGCTATGACATTCACATCCTTGAAAACAAAACTTTAAAGTGCAGGTTAAGAATAGTTTGAGGTTTGCATTGGGTAGAATTGATTTCTGAAGGACCCCAGCTTCCTGTGGAAGAAGTAGTTCAGAGCAGTGCTGGTGCTGAGGGCCTGGGGCCCTGTGAGGATCCTGAGGGAAGTGGAGTGAGGAGAGAGAGGAGGCCAGTTCTCTGTCTAACCCAAAGGGAGAAGAAGTCACAGCTTTCCCCATATCTTGACGCTGGACCTCAACAGCCACCTACTGGATGGAACCAGAGCCCTGGTTATTAAACACATCCCTGCTTGTGATCTATTTACCTCTAGCTCTGACAAATGGTTATTTGAAATATGAAGGCTAGGGCCCCACGGTGTCCTGTCAGACCAGTCTGGAGGTTTGTGGAGGTTCTTCTGCTGTCCTTGGCAGCCGACGGCCTTTGCACACTGGGGAGTTCTGGGACCCTGCTCAGATTCTCCCTGGAAATGGCTCAGCTGCGTGCAGGCTCCTTTCTCACCCACTTGGACATGGGAGTCCACAGAAGGGCTAGATGGGATGGACTTCCAGACGGTGTGGAAGAGACTAACAGTGGACACAGCTGGGACCCACCAGGCACAGCTCTGTGCTGCAGTCGGTGAGAGCTAATGTGACATTGCTCAAGCTTGTGTGGCTGTCACAGGCACTGAAGATGTGCCCAGTCCTGGAAAGCAGGGTGATGGTCAGCGCAGCACCGACGTAAGCATGTGGGTGTAATTTGAGGTCACAAGGACCAATCTGGCTTGGTAAGGTGTGGGCGTCTGGGCTTAAGAAGTGGAATTGGATGCAGTTGTATACTCGTAATGCCAGCCACTTGGGGGCCGAGGCAGGAAGGGGCTGCAGGCTCCAGGACAGTCACAGTGACTTAGCAAGGCCCTGTCTTAAAATGTTTAAAAGGGTCAGGGATGCAGCTCAGTGGTAGAGAGCTTTCCCAAGCATAAAGGAGGCCCCCTGGGTTTAATCCCCACCACTGAAGAAGGGAGCAAAGAGACATCAGAGCCTGAACCAGGATGACCTCATGTGGGAGTCCAGACCRGTCGACAGCAAAGCTTGCAGGAAGATTGCAGGACGGGTGGGAGCAGGGGCCAGAGGCATATGTCCAGAGCACCCCATCTTCTTAGAAGGGCTCTGCATGGACTGGCCAGACCCTGGGAACCTCAGGGAACAGGTGTGACTCATGAACATTCTACTGTTCATAATTTAACAGGTTTTCTCCTTCACTTTAGACTTAAAGATTTATAAATTAGAATTTTGTTGGTGCTACTTTTTTTTTTTTTTAGAGAGAGTGAGAGACAGAGAGAGAGAATTTTTTAACATTTATTTTTTTAGTTTTTCAGCGGGCACAACATCTTTTTTTTTTTTTGTATGTGGTGCTGAGGATTGAACCCAGGCTGCATGCATGCCAGGCGAGCACGCTACCGCTTGAGCCACATCCCTAGCTGCGATGCTACTCTTATATAAAATATTCCCAATCAGTTTGTCCCCCCTCCTTCAGTTAGGGCACACCTGTGTGGCTAATGTGAGGGCTCCCTGAGGGACTATGGCCTCTGGCCTATGTTTCAAACCCTGGGCCTAAGTCGCCATCGAGTCCCCCTCCTCTACTGGAGCCTGGGACCCTGATTCTCACTTCTCTCGCGAGTCTGTAGTTGTTCTCTGGTCAGACAGAATGGTCCTGTTTCTGCTGTTGTTTCTCCTCCTGGACTCGGGCTCACACCTACCGTAAAGCCCACTTTGTGAGTTCAGGAGCCCACGGGGATGTATGCAGTCAGGTGGCCTACCTGGTGGGGTCGCTCACCCACAAGCCCCCCGCAAGGTGTGGAAGCTGTGACTCTCACTTCACAGGGTCCTTCTTGGTCCTCCCCCAGTGGCCTTTGAAGGTTCCTTCCAGTCCTGCGATTTTATGACCTGGTTTCTAAATCCTCAGTGGATTAGAAGGGCCTGAAGGACTTTCACAGGATAACGGCAAGAACAAAGGGACTGCAGAGTAACTGAGAATTCTTAAAAAGACAGGAGCTCTGGGTTACCTGGAAGCTCAGGAGCCCTTAGGTCCCTCTTCTGTCCTGTGCCATAGCCCAGCATCACACCCTCCTGACCCAGAGGCTCTGAGGGTAGAGGAAGGGCGACTGGCCCTCAGGAGAGCCTGTCGATTTTGTGAGAATATTCCTGCAAACTGGTTAGATCTAAGTTTTGACACTCGGTGGCCACTCCCTCAGGTCCTAGAAGAGGTGCAGTGGGTCAGGTTTCATGTGGTGTTTGGGTCAAAACTAATGGCCTAAGAGCAAAGCTTGCAGCTTGCCTGAGTATTGGTCTCAACAGCCACGTCGTAAAAAAGATTCTGGCCTTTCTCACTAGAAGATGCTCGGATCTTGGCTTCAAGATGTGAATAAGTAACTTTTTTCTGTTTTTTTTTTTTTTTTTTTTTTTTTTCTCTGTTCTCTCCATCGTATCCCATCCCAGTAAAAGCTGGCAGGCTGACAGAGGCGGCCTCGGGACGGACTTTCTGGCTACCGACCGTTTTGCTGGTAAGTTTGACTCTACCACCCAAAGTGTCAGGTGCTGGGCAGGTGTCTCCAGGGCCCTGTGTGCCTTCTGTCCTCGGCGGCGCCTCTCCTGAACGGCCATCTCTGTGACTTACCTCTCAGCATCACAGTCTGAGGCACATGCTCTTCAGAGGTGCTCTCTGCCTTCCATCTGTTTTCAATCTCATTTTCTTGCATGTGAATTATATTTGTTAAGAATTATCGAAATTTGGGCTGGGGATGTGGCTCAAGTGGTAGCGTGCTCGCCTGGCATGCGTGCAGCCCAGGTTCGATCCTCAGCACCACATACAAACAAAGATGTTGTGTCCGCCGAAAACTAAAAAAAATAATAATAATAATAAATATTTTAAAAAATTTTCTCTCTCTCTCTCTCTAAAAAAAAAAAAAAGAGAATTATCCAAATTTGGATCTTATTTTGCTTTAGGAAGCAGAACTTAATTTTCCAAACTTGGGCAGAAATCTTTGTTGTAAAATTTATGCAAAACCTTGTTCCTTCATGATAAGTTAACTTGGCACTCCTGTTTTCTGCAAAGGTGACGCATGTGAGACCCTGGGTCCAAGCGTGTGGCAAAAACGGCCTTGCTCGTGTAGCAGGGTACTCCCTGGTGTTGGGCTAGGAGAGGGAAGCAGGCACTCCCACCTTAGAGCTGCTGTCCTACTGAGGACTGTGCTTTGAGCCAGGCTCTCCCCTCCTTTGTGTCTCTCTGATACCTGGGAGACAGTGGAGGAGAAAAGTCAGTCACAGGTGTCAGGGACATTCAGCACCATATATGCACCTGCTGGGTGACCACCACAGAGAATGGAGGCGGCTAATTCCTGCCATGCCTGGGACTCTGGAGTGGCTCTTCTGGGCCCTGAATGAGCACCTGGGTATCCTATGGCTCTTTGTAGCAACTATCCAGAGCAGCACCCTGTAATGTCAGGAGGCACACAGTGAACACACTGACAGATGAGTGGAGAGGTCCAGGTAGCCTGAGGAGAAAGATTCAGGTGCCATCTGTGCCAGGGAATGGGCCAGCCAGGGACAGGTGCTACCAGTCCCAGGGCTCTGAGYGAGGGATGGTGCAGACTCTGGGTGGCCGCTCTAGTGGGGAGGTGGGTACAGTCTCTCCAACCCTGAGCAGCTCTTGGCCAGAGCTTTGTTCCTTGATAGAAGGCTCCCTTGGGAGGACAGTTGACCAGCTGTCCTAAAACCTGCCTTACTCCTATTTTTTCCTGTTCTCCCTTGGTGAGAGTTTGGGAATCAGTTCACATCAGAKATTACAAAGAAAATAAAAGTTGTAGTTTTAATGCAAATGAAAATAAAACCCTAGTTAAAACTTTGGTTAACTGGGCTGGGGATGTGGCTCAAGCAGTAGCGCGCTTGCCTGGCATGTGTGCAGCCTAGGTTCAATCCTCAGCACCACATACAAAGATGTTGTGTCCGCAGAAAAATAAAAAATAAATATAAAATTCTCTCTCTTTCTCTCTCTCTAAAAACAAAACAAAACAAAAACCTTTGGTTAACTGTCTCAGAGGCAGTTGAGTGTCAGCTTTGACTTTCCCTCTTTTTGACTCCCCTTTCTTACTGTAGTGGCTTACCCGGATCACGTGTGGGTGTGAGATCAACCATGAGCTCCGTTGCAGTTTTGACACAAGAGAGTTTTGCCGAACACCGAAGTGGACTGGTTCCGCAGCAAATCAAAGGTGATAGCTCCTTTGGGTCTCCTCTTGCTAACTTCCTGGCAAAGCTTGCCACATCCCACGTCTTTCTGGAAGGGTCTTTGCCCTACCCATTCCATGCACTCTGTTTTGCATTGCTGGGTGTGCAGGTGTAACTGGCCAGGCACAGGAGAGGCCAAGCCTTTGGCAGATTCATTGAATTGAGCTCTGGTAACCACCGGGATCTTTTTTCAGAGTTGCTGTCCCAGTTGTGCGCACCGCATCCTGGCAGTGAAGCACAGAGCTCTGTGCTGCACACTGTGCTGGAGACGGGATGCCACACCCCTCAGAGCTCCCAGGGCACTCTGGGCTGGGGAGGGGAGGTCATCCAAACAGCTGTGTCTTGCTTCSTACCCACGGCAAGTGAAAAGGAATGGGCGAAACTGATTTAAATGTATTTTAACACAATGTGTTGGGCTGGGGGTGTGGCTCAAGCGGTAGCGCGCTCGCCTGGCATGTGTGCAGCCCGGGTTCGATCCTCAGCACCACATACCAACAAAGATGTTGTGTCCGCTGAGAACTAAAAAATAAATATTAAAAATTCTTTCTCTCTCCTCTCTCACTCTCTCTAAAAAAAAAAAAAAACCAATGTGTTATAAAATATCCATTCCAACATTTCTTTAATGTAGAAGAAAAAGAAAAACCTGACATTTCATGTTTTTTCTTTTCCTTCAAAATTTGGTGTGTATTTATAACTATAGGACATTTTGATTTGAATACTAAATTATATTAAAACCCTTTAACTGAATTAAATTTCTGAAAATTTTCTATTAAAGAGCAGATCATTTTACTCCAAGTTGTTAAAGACATTTTTAAAGTTTTTCAGTAATTGAATTGTTACTTATTGCATTTAAAATTATTTAAAATTTAAAATCCCTGCCTCGATCCTGCTGACCATACTTGGAATGTCCGTTTCTAGTGACCATCAGGGGATGGGGCCCTCGGTACTGCTGCTCCCCTGGTTCTGAATGCTTGGGGCCTAAGGTCTTTCTACTTAGTGCATCACACTGCGACTGCAGGTGGCACCAACAGAACCTAGCCCCAGGCAGCACTGCCTGGCCCTGGGTACAGATCTTGCCTGTGTGTGTCTGTGTGTGTGTCTGCGTTTGCGCACCTGTACACTGGGTACTTTCCTGGGGCCTTGCTCTGGGAGCTCAGGAGAGCCCARAATAGCCATGCCCTTGCTTCCACAGAGATCATGCTTAATGGGACAGAAACATGAACAGAGACCACAAGAGCCACAGTGATTAGGGACACTACCTTCTGCAGGTCCTACTGTTCCTGCTTTGGGTTGGGGGAGATCAGAGAAAGTTATTCCCACTGGAATTGATTTCAGCACTGTGTACCATGGTGTAAAGGCAGCTGGAGCCCATCTCGAAGGTGGCTGCTGCAGACCATGCTGGGCAGCACTGTTCTGTTTGCTCTGTGCCGGTCACAGTCAACAGTCATGATGTCAGAATCTGCAAACATCTGTGGCAAGTTCTGCCTTCAGGGGCTCACTGGCCCCAGTGTGGGAGTAGGGCGCATGGTCACCATGCTGACCATTCATAGGAGACCGYGTCGAGGTGGGAAGACTTAGTGTCAGGGATCGGGAGTCTCTGGCCCAGTCTGGCTCACATACTGAGAGGGGCTGATGACTGCTGGGCCTTTCCTCTCCTGGGAATGAGGAGGTGGCGGATATTACTCAAGCAGTTGGCATCTCGGTGAAGGTGTCCACTGGAACCCTCCCAGTGTGTTCACTAAAGTCATCTCTTCCTCTAATCTGTGATGGCTGGTCCAGTGGCTACTTTAAATTCAGAAGAGGAGAGCGACCCTCCCACCTATAAGGATGCCTTCCCCCCACTTCCTGAGAAGGCAGCGTGCTTGGACAGTGCCCAGGAACCTGCCGGAGCCTGGAGCACCAAGATCCGGCCCATCAAGGCCTCCGTCATCACTCAGGTGGGTCTGCCTGCTCCCTGCTGTTGGTCATGCAGGGGACAGCAGTCTCATGGAAGGCAGGCACCCTCTTCACCTCGCCGTACCCCATGCAYTGCCCCCACTATTGTCTAGTTCTCATTCCCACCTGCTGGAGCTGACTACCTATCCACACCAGCAGTGCCTTCAGGTGCTGGTCTTGCTTCTCCTGAGCTGCACATACCCTCCCCTCTGTGCCCTGACTGTGAGCTGTCGGTGGGCCTCAGCTTACACAGGAATCCATGTCTGCCCATGGTGGGGAGTGACCGCCCTGCCTTGACAGGCATTCTCCCTCTGTGCTCACAAGCACCTGGCCACCCTTCTTTCCGTCACTGCCAACAACAAGTTGTCCTGCTAATGATCTTGTTGAGTGCCACTTGCTGTGGTCCCAGTCCCCATAAACCCATTGAGTCATTAAGGAGAATCTGTCCTAATTTAAAACTTGTCAACTTTTACCATAGGGATCCAGACAGTGCCCTTGACGTGCACCCTTCACCCGTGTTCTCCCCACCTCCTGCTGCCCCCTGCTCTCTCCTCTGCCCAGCCATCCCCAGGTCCTGCTGTCCATTCCACCCATGTGGCTGCCTCCCTAATGGTCAGCCCCACAGGCTTCCTGTTGCTTGTCTTCAGTCCTTAGTGCAGTGGTGTAGCTGTCTTCTGCCCCAGAGCACAGCCCCTGAGAGTCACTGGCTGCCCTGGGGCAGTGCTGCTCGTGAATGATCAGGGGTCCCCACTTCCTCGTGGTCGCACTTCTCTTCTTTGACATCTTAACCTCCCTCCACTTTTGATTTTTCCTGAGCAGGTGTTCCACGTGCCCCTGGAGGAAAGGAAGTACAAGGACATGAACCAGTTTGGAGAAGGTGAACAAGCCAAGATCTGCCTTGAGATCATGCAGAGGACTGGCGCTCACCTGGAGCTGTCTCTGGCCAAAGATCAAGGCCTCTCCATCATGGTCTCAGGGAAGCTGGATGCTGTCATGAAAGCCCGGAAGGACATTGTCGCCCGATTGCAGACTCAGGTGAGTGTCCCCAGCTCCTGGTGCACCTAGTCCCTCTCCAGATTCTTCTACCAGTGGAGCAACTCAGTCGTTTGGAATTGGAACAGCAACATTTAAAACTCTTGATATTGCAATAGAACTGGAATACCTACCATTCAGGCATTTGAGTGGATGTACTGAAAATGTGAAGGCTTATCCCAGAGTTTGAGATACTGTGGGAAAAAAAACATAGGCTTGCTAGATGGTGTAGAGCTGCCATCTCCGACTTCGCCTGAGAATCAGCTAGCATGTCTGTGTTGGTACACTCTATACCCCGCCCCAGATTGGGAGTTCCGATTTCAGATACTGTCTTTCTTGTTTGTTGTACTGGGGCTCAAACCCAGAGCCTCTTGAGTCTGGATCTTGCCGAGTTGCCAGGATGGCCTGGAACTGGTGATCTGCCCGGATGCCAGCAGATTGTGCTGGTTTTAAACCCATTCCTCTTCTTGGCACTCGTACTGGAATTTATTTGGGAACCAGTGGACTAAGTAAATCTGTGGTACACTTTCCCCAAGACCAAGGTGGAGAGCCTCTCTGAGGCAGGGTCTTTACATGACAGCTTCCATGCTGGATGGTTGGTTCAGAACTGGGCTCCTCCTGCCTCCGCTGTGGGAGCTGGCTCAGGGATGCCATAGTTTGTAGGGGTGTGTGGCCCTGTGCTGCCACAGGCTCAGCCACACGGGTCCCAGAGATAGTTTCAGACTCCCAGTGGCCTCATGGAGTTACACAGGTCAAGGTCACAGAGGTGGAAATACTCTAGTAGTTGAGCATTGTGCAGAGAGACTCTGAAGTGTCCATTGCYGTCTGCTTGTCACAGACATTTGCGCATCTGCTTTGTGGCGGAACTCCCCATGGGGAACCATCGTGTGTATGGGCCGTGCAGAAGCACTTTTCCTGGTCCACACCCTTGCTGTTTGCTTGCTTGCTTGATTTACCCATGCTGGGGCTRGAACCCAGGGCCTCATGAATGCTAAAAAGTACTCTACCATTGAGCCACACTCCAGCCCCTTGGTCATTTCAAAGTGAACCTCATACACATTATTTTACCTGCAAATAGTCTACTGTGTGYATATAACTTCTTTTGAGGGGCTGGGGATGGAACCCAGGCCCTCTTGCTTGCCAGGCAGATGCTGAGCCACAGTCACTGTGCCACGAGCTGCCTTAGCAAGGTTGACGGAGGTCCTGGCACACTCACGCCTGTGCATTGCCTCTCGCTCTCTCCTCTCCTCCAGCCTTCGTTTTCACGTCAGTCTCAGTCACAGTCTACACCAGCACTGGAGCTCAGTGTCACGAGTCTTAGCCTCAGTGGTACACCTCATCCCTCTTCAGTGCCACTGATGTGTGGAAAGGGCTTTGTGCTGCTGCCCCTCACAATTGGCTGGGGCTGGTGTGAGGCCTGAGGTGGTCTGTGTGCCCTGCGTGGTCCCTGAGTCTCCCCATTGGTCTCTGGCGGCCTAGTTGTCTCGTTTTTCCTGGTACTGGGGATTGAGCCCAGGGTGCTCCACCACGGAGCCACATGCCCAGCTCTTGCTGCGCTTTAGCATAAGACAGGCTCTCACTTGGTTGCCACCCTCCTGCCTCAGCCTTTGGAGTCCCTGTGATCCCAGGTGTGCCCATCACTGTGCCACAGCTGCCACGTGAGTGGTGCTGCCACCATGGGTGGTCCCTGCCTTGCTTTCTTTTCTGCATCAGCCCGTCCACTGGGTGGCCCTCTGGAGAGGAGGGACTATGCTTTGCCACGCTGGGCAGGAAGTGCCTGGTAGGCACTGGGTGCCTCTCCCCTGCTCGCCTCTCCAGTGGTGATCAGGCAGGAGGGGCCGGCTRGAAGTGCCTCACCTAGCAGGCCGCCTTCCCTCAGCACTCTGAGCTCCTCTGCTTTCAGCAGAAGGACATCTTGGGCTGATCTTGGAGTCTCCTTCCCAGACCTGGAGTCAGCTGTTTGTCCTTGAGCCTGTTGGGTGGGACATGCAGGTGGAGACCTAAGAACGGGGACTCATGAGAGAGGAAGGTCAGGAGTTCGTACCATCTCTAGTGAAGGGGAAATGGTATGGTTTTTAAATTGCAGTAATTCTTTTTTCTGGGTTTTCCTATGTAGTTAGGTGCATTTGTTTCTGTTTATTTTCACTTTTTAAATATCATTTCAAGCTGGGTGCAGTGGTGCACACACCTGTAATCCCAGCCATACTGGAGGCTGAAGCAGGAGAATTGTAAATTCAAGGTCAGCCTCAGCAACTTAGTGAGACCCCCATCTGAAATAAAATCTTCACAGAGGGCTGGGGTGTGGCTCGGGGCAGAGCCTCTTCAGCAGGGGCAAGGCTCTGGCTTCAGTCCCCAGAACCACAAAACACAAAAGTAAGCAGTGCTTCAGCACGTATCTGACTGCAGTGCGGGGCCTGCCAGTCAGGGCTCTGGGGCTCTAACCCCGTCCCTACCCTCTCCAAGGTGGCTGTGCCTGCCTCCTCTGTGGCTTGCTCCTCTTTGCATTTCAGTGAGAGGTGCCTGCACGCTGCTGGCTTTASTGGTTTCTCCAGGCTCTGCAGGTTTGAATTGTGTTCCTGGGCCACTTCCTGCTTGGTCCCAGTGCATCCTGGGGTGGGRTCCTGCAGGAGGATGGCCAGCCAGCCAGCTCCTCCCCTCAGAGGGAGTGTGCACGTGCCCATCTGGGCAAGCAGAGAAGGCCTGGGCCCCAGGACCTGGGGTGGGCCAGTCTGAGAGGTAGTCGAGCATGCTTTTCATTTGCAATTTTTTTTTTCTGTCAAATGTCTGTTCTTTAGCCTCTTTTGGAGGGAGAGTACTAGGGATTGAACCCAGGAGTGCTTGATCACAGAGCCATGTCTTTTTTATTTTATTTTAATTTTGAGACAGGGGCTGGGATTGTAGCTCCGTGGTAGAGCGCTTACCTAGCATGTGTGAGGCACTGGGTTTGGCATCACATGTAAATAAATGAATAAAATAAAGGTCCATCAACATCTAAAAAAAATTTTTTTGATTTTTTTTATTTATGAGTCAGGGTCTCACTAAGTTGCTCCTGCCTTGGCCTCCTGGGCGGGTAGAGTTACATGCATATGCCAGAGAAATGTTTGTCCTTTAGCCTTTTTTGTATGAAGTTGTTCATTGCACTCAATCTTCAGGATCTACTATATTTACCTGAGCAGAGCAAGGTGATGCATGTCTATGAAGCCAGCTACTCAGAAGGCTGAGTCAGGAGGATTGAATGTTCAGTGCCAACCTCAGCAATGCAGTGAGGCCCTGTCTCAAAACAAAATAAAAAGGGCTGGGTTATTGCTCAGTGGTAAAGTTCTTGCCTAGTGTGTGCAAGGCCCCACGCCTAGTCCCCACTCCCACAAAAAAATCTTAGTCATTGATGAAAATTACAAATAAATTTTTCAGACTGTCATTCAGTTGATCCTAGTAAGTTTTGCTAAGTGAATATTTTATTTTATGTAGTCACATCTATTATGTGTATTATTTTGCGTCATTGTTAGGAAAGTTTATTTTGTTTACAAGTCATAAGAAAGATTTCCGTGTATTCTTCAGGCCTGCGTAAGGATGTTCTTTCATTTCACTTCTGGGTCTTTCTGGGATGCATCTCAGATGGGGTGAAGGGTTGGTTGGGTCACCTCTTCCCATGGGCTGTCCCTGCATCAGCACCAGTCTTAGAGGACTGTCCTCCCCAGGGCCTGGAGGACTACTCCTGCCATGTCCTGAGCGCACAGAGTCCAGCTCTGCCTCTGGGTTTCCAGTCCTGACCCTTGGTCTGTGTCTGTGCCGAGGTTCTCCTGGCCGTGGCATGTCTACACCACTGTCACCACCCTACCCTGAGCTGCCCCTCCTAGGGCTTTCTTGTGTGTCCTGATCTGGTTTGTGTTACCCTGTGAGCGTTCTAGTCTACTCTGCCTTCAACTGCAGTAGTTCTTAAAAGTCAGTCTCACACAAGGATTGACATCTTTATGATGGGAACATTCTTTTAGATCTCTTAAGGGGTGATTTCCTGTTTATGTGTTTATGTTTAAATCAGTACCAACCTTTTTTATTTGATTTGTGGTGCCAGGGATCAAACCCAAGACCTTGGACATGCTTTGCAAGCGCTTCACCACTGAGCTACCTGCCCAGCCCTGTTTCCCAACTTATAACACACACGTTCTACCTGTTTGCATCTGGGTGTTCTTTTTCTCTTGGTTGTGCTGGGTATGGAGCCCCAGGCCTTGTGCATGCCAGACAGCTCTCTACCAGTGTATTGCAGCCTTTAAACCTTCATTGTTTATCTAAGTTAGGCTGCTGATTCCAGAGTCCAGAAGTTGATAAAGCAGTGCTGGGCCAGCTTCCCGRTCTGCGGCCATGGGCCTATTCCTGCCCTGCCTTTGTTGTGGGCTCCTGCCTACTGGCCTGGCCTCATGCCATTCTCCCATCTGGGGAGGGTTTGGTGGGCATTCCAACCAGAGAGTACCTTGTTCACAGAACTGCAAGCATTCTTGTTTTCTTTGGTTTGCTACCTGCTATAGGCCTCAGCAACTGTTGCCATTCCTAAAGAGCACCATCGTTTTGTGATTGGCAAAAATGGAGAGAAATTGCAAGACTTGGAGCTAAAAACTGCAACCAAAATCCAGATCCCACGCCCAGATGACCCCAGCAACCAGATCAAGATCACTGGCACCAAAGAGGGCATTGAGAAGGCTCGCCATGAGGTGCTGCTCATCTCTGCTGAGCAGGTGAGGCCTCYCTGCACCCTGCCTACCTGCCCAAGGCCAGCGTGACTGCTCGTGGGCAGCCACTCCTGTGTGAACCAGTGGCGCTGTTCTCAGGTGTCCTCACCAGTACACCTGTGCTTTCCAGGACAAGCGTGCCGTGGAGAGGCTGGAGGTGGAGAAGGCCTTCCACCCCTTCATTGCTGGGCCCTACAATAGACTTGTGGGTGAGATCATGCAGGAAACAGGGACGCGCATCAACATCCCCCCTCCCAGTGTCAGCCGGACAGAAATCGTCTTCACTGGAGAGAAGGAGCAGCTGGCACAGGCTGTGGCTCGCATCAAGAAGATTTACGAGGAGAAGGTGTGCAGAGGTGGAGCCCATGGGCAGGACGGACAGTGGGGTCCAAGGGTGGAGGTTTAGCCAAGGCTTCATCTGACCCATGTTCTGTTCTCTTTGGACACAAAGCTCAGTACCCCTGTGGCCTGGTTAGGGCTTGTTGCCCCACACACACACACACTGCTGGCCTGCTGCAGGGTTGTCCTTGCAGTCCTGTCCATGTGTGCCCTGTCCATACTGATAGGTCACCTCCTACGGTGGCACATAAGACTCAGATCTGTTCGTGTCTTTGATGAAACTATAACTCAGATTGACCAACTTTGAGGTCTGAGACTCGCTCCCTGGTTTTGGGAAAGGACTTGGAGTTCTTAAGTCTTCCAGGTCCTAGTGTTACCGTCCAGGGGTGACCTGGCTCAGGGATGTCCTGTTTTTGGAAAGTGAGTTTCTGGGGAGGGCCCCTCATGGTCCCCACTTGATAGACATTGGCACTGGTAGTCAGGGCCCTCGGATACATTACCTCTGCTGCTGGCCATGGAGGTCTGTCCACCTCCTGCTTCTGCACCTTTCCCTCTGACTACTGCTGTGGCCTCCCTCCCACTTAGAAAAAGAAGACCACGACCATTGCGGTGGAGGTGAAGAAGTCTCAGCACAAGTATGTCATCGGGCCCAAAGGCAACTCCCTACAGGAGATCCTGGAGAGAACTGGGGTTTCTGTGGAGATCCCCCCCTCAGACAGCGCCTCTGAGACGGTGATCCTGCGAGGGGAGCCCGAGAAGCTGGGCCAGGCGCTGACTGAGGTCTACGCCAAGGTAGCTGCCAGAGGGGTGTGCCCAGCTGGGGAGCACACGCCCACAAGTCCCCAAGGCACAGTCTGGTTCTTTTGTAGCCTGACCTCAAGCTCCACAAACCTGCGAGTCTGCTCCCCTGTCTCCCCAGGCCAACAGCTTCACGGTCTCCTCAGTGTCCGCCCCCTCCTGGCTTCACCGGTTCATCATCGGCAAGAAAGGGCAGAACCTGGCCAAGATAACACAGCAGATGCCCAAGGTGAGGGGGCCTTATCCCCTGTCAGGTTTGTCTGACACACCTTGTTGCCGTTTGTCCTGTGGGTGCCTTTGAAAGGCGGGCACATTCTCTMGCTCATTCGTCCTACTGGACACAGCCAGCTTTTGAGGCTAGCTGTGGGATTGCAGAATAAATCTGCTGTTTGTAACCAGGGACAGAGTGTTGCTAGGTTTGACAAGTGTCTTCAGAAGCTTGCCAGTTAATAATCGTGCTGTATAACCTCATTAAAATAGTTGGAAGCGTAGCACTTCAGACAGACTCTTACGTATTAATTTCATGGGCCTTTTCACCCTCTACAGTGCTGTCCTTTGCCAGAGGGGAGACAGGCTGGGGGTGCTTCTCAGTGGCAGAGCACTTGCCTGCCATGCTGGTGCAAGGCCCCAGGTTTTTTAAGTTTATTTTTTTTAATATCTTTATTTTACTTATTTACTTTTATGTGGTGCTGAGGATCGAACCCAGGGCCTCACACATGTTAGGCAAGCACTCTACCACTGAGCCACAACCCCAACCCAAATAAATAAATTTAACCTGCAACCAAAGGGGAGACCAGAGCCCCCGGGAAGCTGGAACRAAGCAGCACAGGGCTGCTGTGGCCCCTCACGCCTGCTCTGTTGCGTTGGCGTCCTGCATGCTGGGTCCTGGTTTCGCCTTTCCTGGCTGTGGACTCTGGGTTCATCCAGTGCTGGTGGGTGCACTGTCAGGAGGGAGCAAGCCGCCCCACCACCTGAGCTCCGCCCCGTACAACTGAGGTGGAGCTGGCCCTCCAGAAGTTCCCACGGGGTGGAGTGCCAGTGGTGTTCCTGTGCTCAAGTCGGTGGTTCTGGGCCAGCACCGCAAATAGGAAAGGAGAGRGGAAAGCTTACCAGACCATGGTGTTTGTGCCAGGATAGTCCCCCACCCCATCCCTCTGCTCTCTGTAGTGGGGGTGGATATGACTGTCCRTCACCTGTATTTTTGTGAAGCAGCTTGGGGTCATCTGCTGCCCCCACAAGAGTGCCCTCTGGCCCTCTGGGAACAGCGGTGGCATGGGGCTGAAGTCACTGCAGCTGCACGGTCCCTCTCCTCACTTGGGTTTGGTAGGTGCACATTGAGTTCACTGAAGGTGAGGACAGGATCACCCTGGAAGGCCCCACAGAGGACGTGAGTGTGGCCCAGGAGCAGATCGAAAGCATGGTCAAGGACCTGGTGAGCACCCCCGGRGCAGCCTGTGCTMGGGAGCCGGGGCCCTGTGGGTGGGCTGGGCGAAGCACATCTCCTGGGGATCGCCTCTCTAGTGAGGAACAGTCCTGAAACAGTGAGAAGCTTGAGTCCCCAGGGAAGAAACCTGCATTTTGAAGAAAGGACTTTCAAATAACCAGCAAATCCCAGGGACCAAAAGTGTTCCTCTCTGCTGACCTGCCCTGTGCTCCTCCCACAGGTCAACCGGATGGACTATGTGGAGATCAGCATCGACCACAGGTTCCACAGGCACCTCATCGGGAAGAGCGGGGCCAACAGTGAGTGGGCTGGGGGTGGCACACTCCCTTAACAGCGGGCTTGCTGCGCTTGGCCTTTCTGGCGAGTGCTGTTGTCCTGGCCAGCTCATTTCCCAGACTTCCTACCCATGTCCACCACCTTGGGGAGGCCACAGGTGAGCCCTCAGTCACTGTCCGCCCGTTGTCAACACTGGAGAAACATCTGGGTCACACAATAGGGACAGCACAAGAGTGCAGTGACTTGGGCACGTGTTGAAGGAGCACTTGGCTACCATCCAAGATGGCCTCTGCAAGCTTTGTCCTGTGCCTGGGTCACYGCACCTGTCTGGGAGTGGCTCTGGGCCCCAGGCTTCACCTTGAGTGTGGAATGTGGGGTGTACACACACCCTTCCTAGTTGGCAGAGGGTCCTTCCTGGGCCTGCTTGTGACTGGCATCAGACAGCCTTTCTCCATGGCGAACAGCTGGAAGCCTGCCTGCCACACTGGGGCTTGGAGCTCGGCATCCTCTCTGTGTTCTGGGCCGTGTCTGTGATGGGGACGGCAGTCTCAGGTGCAAAGGGTCCTCGGGTGGTGTCCACCTCTCCACACCGCTGTCCTGCGCACACCACAACCTCAGTTCTGAGGTTTGCTCTTGGGTTTGGTTAAGAACTCCAGGGAGGTTCAGCAGTACAGKTCTGGCGACGTTTCTGGTTTGTGCCACCTGGGAATGGCAGAAGCTCTGAGCACAGCATGGTCAAAGAATCGCATCCATTCTGTCTTGTGATCCAATTCCAGACCCTCACTTTTTATTTTTCCATAATCTAAAATCTGCTGCCCACTTCTCTGTCCTGCTGCTCTTGACCCACACCCTCCCCCTCCCCCAAAAGAGCCAGTTCTTCATTCCTGTCCCTCTCACAATTGCACAGCATGGGACATCCATCCAGAGCCTTCTGGTCTCCCAGGTGCTCGGCTTCTCTTCACTGCACAGAGGGCAGGGCCGGCCTTGATGCTTGGTGGTTTGGCTCCCCCAGGGTTGGGGACCTGCATCTCCAGTGAACACCATGTTCTGTCCAGAGTTGGTGGCAGCAGGAGAGTGGCCTCCCAGTTGTTTTGTGAGGACAGCAAAGCACTCTGGGGTCCCACCACTGTGGTCAGTCGGCGAGCGTTTCGGTCTTGAGCTAACGCATGTGATTTTTTACTTGAACCATCAGTTGCAAATTTGCACTTTATTACCTCCTGGGATCTTGTAAATATTCTAAAGCCCCAGCCTTACCCCAGACCAGCAAACCTCCAACTCCATGGTCCTGGCACATGTGAAGCCTCAGGGCAGTGCCAGCCTGTGGGTGATGCTGGGAGCTGGCCCGCACTGGAAACCTTGCAGTCCAGCAAAGATCATGACCAGCTCCCGGTGCAGATGGTGGATGCTCTCGTGTTGGAAGCTTGTGGTCATTTGGGGTTAGTGGGAATAACTGCTGAGGTTATTGAGGCTTGGCCCTGTCCCTCCTCGCTKTCTGGTGTCTGTAGACCTCGGAGCTTCTGTATCCAAGCTGCCCCATCTTCTTTTGTGTCCCAAGTCAACAGAATCAAAGACCAGTACAAGGTGTCTGTGCGCATCCCTCCTGACAGCGAGAAGAGCAACCTAATCCGCATCGAGGGGGACCCTCAGGGCGTGCAACAGGCCAAGCGGGAGCTGTTGGAGCTGGCCTCTCGCATGGTGAGTCCCCAGGAAAGCACAGGCCTGTGTCTGGCTGCCTGCCGCGCGGGGGGCAGGTGGTTGCTAGGGTGTGTGGTCCTGGGTGGGAGTTGCCACATCCTGTGTTGGGCACGCTTTCATGCTGCCAAAATTACCAGCATGTCTCCCTCAGCCCCAGCTGTGCTGGAGAAGCACAGGCGCACCCCAGGACCCCAGGTGGCTCTCACTCAGGGTGTCTGCCCAGAGGGTTTCCGCCCACAGGCAGAAGTGCTGGACTCTCCCACAGAGCACTCTGGCCTCTATGARCCCAGTGCACACAGCAGCAGTCCTCAACTTGGCTGCACATGGAAGTCCTAGGGCCTCCAAGAGGCCAGAAAGACAAACACTGTAGTCACTTACCCCGTTTGAGTAAATGAACTCGCCCGAGACCCAAGTGCAGAGCCTCACTTTGGAAGGCTTCTGTTTTATTGGCAGTGATTCTAGTGTCCTCAGGTGTCATCCAGGTGTGGCCCACCCCCTGCCGCCCTCCTGTAGTTCCGAGCTCTGTCTCCAGCCCAGTGTCCCTGCTTCTCCTCACCCTAGACCTTCCCCAGGGCACCTTGCTCCAGTGTCTCCTTCCTACTCAGGACCACTGAGTTCTGTCATCGGGTGCCAGTCTGGTCCGGCCCCTGCCTGGACTTGATCTCCACTGGTGCCCTGCTGGCTCCCTCGGGTGTTTCCAGGAGGCTGGAGCCCTGGGGTTGGTTCCTTGGTCTGGGTAGGATGTGTCAGGCATCCTTCTCGGTCTCCCCCTGAGCTGCCCTGTGTTGGGAAGGGATTGCCCCCGGGCATGCGGTGCCAACTCCCCTCTGCCTTGTAGAAGCAGGTGCCGGTGCCCCACTGCAGGGCCTTGCCCCTACCTCGGTAATTGTACCATCAAGAAAGTGACACTGCCAGGTGACTCAGAGTGTGACATGATTGGAGAGATGAGGCGTCCTGCAGCGGGCAGTCTCACGGCTGCTGCTCCAGGGTGCCCGGGGCACCCCTCGCCCRCTGCTGGGCGACAGATGGGCTGTGCAGCAGAGCCCAGGGTCTTGTGTCCACACTCAGGCGGCTCTCTGTCACCAGGGGCTTCATCCGTGCTCATTGTTTTTAGGAAAACGAGCGTACCAAGGATCTAATCATTGAGCAGAGATTTCATCGCACAATCATTGGGCAGAAAGGTGAACGGATCCGTGAAATTCGCGACAAATTCCCGGAGGTAAAAGTTCCCCAGAGGCATTCCTCCCCCCCCTTGTGGTGCTGGGGATTACCTGGGGGCTCACATGCTTGGGCAAGCGCTCTGCCCCTGAGCTGCACCCCAGATCTCCGGGAGTGCTCTCCGGCACCTAAGGAATGYTCAGGACCTCTGAACCTGCTCGGTCTCCTGGTTGGTTGTTCCAGGTTATCATCAACTTCCCAGACCCAGCACAGAAAAGCGACATCGTCCAACTCAGAGGGCCCAAGAACGAGGTGGAAAAATGCACCAAGTACATGCAGAAGATGGTGGCCGACCTGGTAGGCCTTCTAGAGGCCTCCCCGTGAGGCAGGGCTGGAYATGGCCTGGGGCGCCTGCCCCTCAGACTCCCGACTCTGCCCCCAAGTGCTCTGTGTGGGGAAGGGTCTGCTCTCTCAGGGACCTGGACAGTGAGATGGCACCTCCTAAATGCCTTCATGCTCAGACCACCAGTAACTTTGAGAACATCTTATGTGGAGTTGAAGTGGGAGAGGGACTGAGGGGAAAGCCATGGCCTGGTGCTATCCACGGCTCCGGCCCTGGGAGGTGATCGTGAGGGGGGCTGAAGGGTACTGTGCACTGCTGCCTGGCTGCTGGTCCCCAGGAGCACTGGGGGCTGTGTGCTGCCCTGTTGTGGGGTCCAAGCACCTTCCTCACCCAGCTCCTATCCTGGCATGTAACACACTCCACCAGCCAGTATGATGGTTAGGGCCCCTGGACAGACCTGGWGGGTGCTAGTTGACCAACCGCAGGCTGCTGTAGACAGGGACTTCAGACCAGTTGGCTGTGACATGCCAGGTGGTTAGTGGCCAGACACTTGGTCTTCCTATGAGGGCAGATTCTGGCGCTCAGCTAGGCTGGGAGGAGAGCAGGCTCCAGGCGCATGTCTGCTGGCGGTGTCACTGCCATGTCCTGTGTTGCAGGTGGAGAACAGCTATTCGATTTCTGTTCCAATCTTCAAACAGTTTCACAAGAACATCATTGGGAAAGGTGGTGCAAACATCAAGAAGGTGACTGCTGTGGGAAGGCGGAGACGGGCCTCCCCTCCAGGCAAAGTGTGTAGTGCCCCTGTCTGGGAGACCTGCAGTCTCTCAGCTTCGCCTCCCTCTCCTAGATCCGTGAGGAAAGCAACACCAAGATCGACCTTCCCGCGGAGAACAGCAATTCTGAGACCATCATCATCACAGGCAAGAGAGCCAACTGTGAGGCTGCCCGGAGCCGGATCCTGTCCATCCAGAAAGACCTGGTAACAGGGGCTCCCGGTGGGCCACACGCAGGGTGGTCAGCAGTTCTGCCTCTTATCTGTTGGGCGCTCATCACTTAGCCCCATAGCAGTGACCTTGGACCCAAGCCCTGGTCCTCTTGATCCCGTGAAAAGCGTCATCTGAACAGGCATACCATGTTTTCTTCGGCTTCTTTAAAAAAAGCAGTGTACGATCACTCACAGCGTCGAGTTTGTTGGTTCTGACGTGCACTCCCAGGAAACCAGCACCACTTCAAGCCAGGGAAGGTAGCTGCCACCCAGGCGTGGCCAGGGCCGGCCTGCAGCTGCAGTGGTCAGGTGTGCAGGCTCTGGGGTCTGCAGGGTGGCTCATGGTCCCCCTGTGTGGCAGAGCCTCAGTGGTCTGCAGGGTGGCTCGGTGTCCCCTGTGGTAGAGTGTCTCCTCTTGCCGTGGTGGTGATGTCCACCGTAGCAGCCCCTCCCCTCCTTGTTCTGGTCTTGATGGGTTCTTTCATGCGTGCTGGCCAGGTCACTAGCACACAGCTTCCTGGTCCTCTGCTCTGCCTTTTCCTGCTTTCTGCCTCCGCCCCCTCGTTGAGAACCTGACAGTGTCTGCACGTCTGCTGTCCACAACTTGCTTCGTCAGGGGAATCTCTGAGCTGTGGTTTGTCTGGTCAGTCTGATCCAGGGCCACGTCTTGCACATGGCGTCCTCCACATGCTTGACCAGAACATTAGACTGCGTTTCTAGATGCAGTAAAGCCCAGGTGTAGTGGAGTCCATCRTGCCTAGTGTGTTTGGGGTCAGTGTTGTGTGGCTGTGGCCCTGCCCACTCCCTTAACCTTCTCAGACCCTCGGGGCCTTGGCCCCCGACCTGTGGCTGGCTCTGAAGCCCTCTGCCCCTGCTCTCCACGGCACCCTGCCTTCCTGTCTCTCCTTCAGCCTTCTGTGCACAGGTTCCCAGTTCCCGTCCATCTGCGAACAGAACGGGTCCACCATGAGAAAACCAACGCAGGGGACCCCGTAGAGACACCACAGGCAGAGGCAGCTGTGGGTCTGGCCCAGGGCAGCACTGGCCATGTGCTAGCCTTCTGGGGCTGCGGCCCCATCTACTGCTCCCCCGGCTGTGTGCCTGCAGCTTCCTCGTCCTGTGCCCCATGCCTCACCAGTTCCTTTTCTTTTAGGATTCTCTTTTCCCCGCTGCATTGGCACATTCAGGGTGGCTCTGGAGATCCAACCCGGGGTCTTCAGTGTGTGCCCTCTGTGACACAGTGGGCCTCTGCCCCTGCCTGTATGGTCACAAGACACCCCACCCCCACCCCCGTGCATCATTGACCTTTTGGTTTGACGGATTGTTYTTAAGAGACGTAGGTAATGTGTGCTTCCCCAGTGCACGCTGTTCCTAGAGCTCCCGGTCGCTTGTGCCTTCTGTTCCCTCCGGTGTGAACACTGACCCTGGTGTCCCCAGAGTGTGTCCGGTGCCTAGTCTTTCCCGCAAGGTGCCGTGTTGGGAGTGGGCTTCTGGGCCTGGTTCCTGTCAGGCTGCCAGCTGGCTCCCTGTGTGGCGCATTCAGTCTGCCCGGGCGGCAAGCCTGTCCTCCAGGATCCCAGCTGGTGAGTGTCCCTCTGGACATCAGTGGGTCTGACTCCAGGAGCTGAGTCTGAGTCTTAACGTCTTCTGTGTCCTCAGTGCCCAGCTCAGGCAGTCTTTTTTCAGGCTGCAAACCACAGACAGTGCAGGACACCTGCCTGGTGTCTGTGGCCTGCTGGTCCCGTCATCTCTGTTTCTGGGTTGTTTTCTGTTCTCTTTGTCTTGGGTTCTTTTTACCTGTTCCTTTGAAAGCTGGTGTGTTTTGCTGGGTATTTTGTATTCCTCTAAGTATTTTGAGCTGTAAGTCCTTCAGACAGTCTGCACCTTTGGGGACTCGTTCTTCAGTCTTGTTGGACCAGATCAGAGCCAAGCTTGGTCCATCCCCATCCTGCTTCCTAGAGCTGCACCTGGCCCAGGAAGCCAAGTGCAGGGGTGGCTCGGTCCTGAGCTGKGGGCCGTTGCCTGTTTCTCCCAGAACCTTTCCCTGCTCTGGTGTCCTCGGGGTCAGTGTGTGGGTGGCCACCGGGCCTCGGGTTCTCTCTGCTGCCCTCACTGGGCCATAGCAAGTGGGGACGGTCATGCAGCTCCTGTGTCTGCTTCCTGGTGGAGCTGGTAGGCAGGCAGGGGTCGCTCCAACTCTGTTGCTCCATGCTTGCTCCTCACCCCTCGGCACGTGGGATGCAGGTCATGTCACATGGCGCTGAGTGTGTCCTGCTGCTGCACTGCCAGTGCTCAGGTGTGGGCCTGTCCTTGTGCAGCCTCTCCCAGGCCGGCCCCRTCCTCCCTCCACAGTGCAGTGTGGGCCTGCTGTCCCCCAGGCCGGCCGCGTCCTCCCTCCACAGTGCAGTGAGGCCTGCTGTCCCTGCTGACCCCCAGGCCGGCCCCGTCCTCCCTCCACAGTGCAGTGAGGCCTGCTGTCCCCCAGGCCGGCCCCCTCCTCCCTCCACACTGCGGTGAGGCCTGCTGTCTGCCCGTTGCAGGCCAACATCGCCGAGGTGGAGGTCTCCATCCCTGCCAAGCTGCACAACTCTCTCATCGGCACCAAGGGCCGCCTGATCCGCGCCATCATGGAGGAGTGCGGGGGCGTGCACATCCACTTCCCTGTGGAGGGCTCCGGGAGCGACACGGTTGTCATCAGGGGTCCCTCCTCTGATGTGGAGAAGGCCAGGAAGCAGCTCCTACACCTGGCGGAGGAGAAGGTGAGCCCACGCGCGTCCCCTCCTGGGGAGCCCAGCACCCTTTCTCCATGGCCCATCGGGAAGCAGCTCCACAGCCAGCCCTGGCTGAGGGCTGAGCCTGGCGCCGTGGCCACGCTGTAATCCCGGCACCCAGCAGGACAGCAGGCTCCAGGCCAGCCTGAGCAACTTGGTGGTTCCTTGTCCCAAAGTGAAAAGTGCTGGAGGTGTGGCTCAGTGGTGAGTGCTGGGGTTCATCCCCAGTGCCACAGAGATTAGAGGGGGGACAGGGGGCTCCACAGGAGCCACTGGGTTCAAGTCCCACGACTGCAAAAAGATAAAATAAGAAYGTGTGCGCGCGCGTGTGTGCGTGCGTTTCGTGAAGAGTCTTAAAGGGGCTGCATCAGTGGCTCCGCTGCACTGGACAGGGTGGGGTCCTGTTTGTCTTCTTGTGGAAGTCCACGCCTGCTTTYGAGGCCGTCCTGCCTTGCTGCTGGGCTGGGTCTGCCTCTGGGTGGCCTGGCTCTTGGGAATGGCCTTTGTCGGAAGGGTGGCAGCTGCTCCCCTGCTACGTTCTTCCTGCTGTGGCCCAGCCTCTGGTCCAGAGGGCCCCTGGGTCCTGATCACAGGGCTGTGCATCCCCCCGCTCCTCCAGGAGTCTGCTGAAGACACTRGTGTCTGACAAGGGCACAGGAACTGCTTTTGCTGGGCCCTGGTTTTCTGGTTTGTTTTAACCTTTACCAGAATTTTAGGAAGGAATAAGAAATTCTTCTAACAGTTTTCCCCCATGGTGTCTTGTTGTTGTTGTTTTGGGGAGAGGGGTTCTGGGGGTTGAACTCAAGGGCTTTTGATCATTGAGCCACATCCCCAGCCCTGTTTTGTGTTTTCTGTAGAGACAGTGTCTCGCTGAGTTGCTTAGTGCCTCGCTTTTGCTTGAGGCTGGCTTTGAACTTGAGATCCTCCTGCCTCAGCCTTCCGAGCTGCCGGAATTCATGTTTTGTTTTTAATTGGTACGCCGTCGTTGTGCATTCTCATGGGATCGTTGCTATGAGTTCGTACACACACACACTGTAACAATAACTTGGCCACTTCTACTGCCCAGCACTCCCCTCCCTCCCAGCCTGGTTTCTTAGTGTCAGTGGGGCCTTGTTCTGCTGTGTAAGGTCTCTGGCTCTTCGCTCACTGTGCTCTTGGTGATAGTGGCTGAGTGGAGCTGGGCATGGCTGCTGTGCCTAGGCCACGCAGCAGCCCTGAGTGCAGGAAGGTGGCCCTGGACCTGGGGCGATAGGGAAGCAGGGTTCTGTGGTGGGACTCTCCTGACGTGCACATCTGCTGTGCCCATGCGCCCAACCCCAGGGCCTACATGGGGCCAGCACCTCCCACTGCACAGTCCCACACCCAGCAGGTCCAGATCAGTCCTTGCTGGTAAGTGGGGCGACCAGGGTCCCAGTCTGCACCTGGCTGCCATCTTCCGGTGGCTCTGCAGAAGACCACGAGTGCCATCCATCTGAGTGTGTGTGCCCGTTGAGGGGAGATGCTCCTGCTCACCAGCACCATGGCCAGTGTGGCAGTGGGGGCTCACACACTGGGGGTTGGTTTCTGCAGCAAACAAAGAGCTTCACCGTGGACATCCGAGCCAAGCCAGAGTACCACAAGTTCCTCATTGGCAAGGGGGGCGGCAAAATCCGCAAGGTGCGTGACAGCACGGGTGCCCGCATCATCTTCCCAGCCGCTGAGGACAAGGACCAAGACCTGATCACTATCATAGGAAAGGAGGACGCTGTCCGGGAGGCACAGAGGGAGCTGGAGGCGCTGATCCAGAACCTGGTAGGGCACGGGCCTGGGTGTGGGGCTTGGTGCCACTGGGTGGGGCTTCACCTCCCCTTCCTCCCTCTCTGCACCAAGGATAACGTGGTCGAGGATTCCATGCTGGTGGACCCCAAGCACCACCGCCACTTCGTCATCCGAAGAGGCCAGGTCCTGCGGGAGATCGCAGAGGAGTATGGTGGGGTGATGGTCAGCTTCCCGCGCTCTGGCACACAGAGCGACAAGGTCACCCTCAAAGGTGCCAAGGAGTGTGTGGAGGCAGCCAAGAAGCGCATTCAGGAGATCATCGAGGACTTGGTAAGGCCCAGAGGCTGTGGGCTGGCGCTCTGCCCGTCCCCCACTTCCCTGCCTGCCACCCAGCACGCCTGCTATGTAGTTGTCAGGGGCCACGTGAGGGAGGCCTCTGAGGGGAAGAGGGCACCAGGGCGAGTCCCTGGAGCAGCCAACCGAAGCACAGGCTTTTTTAAAGCCGCCTCTTGAGCTGTCCCTGTGCACCCTGGAGGCAGTACCCCCAGGGACCGTATCTGGGGCATCAGTTGTGGTGGACTCAAGCTGCAGCACCCATTTAGAGGGAGGATGGGCCCTGCCGCCCTGCCATGGGGTCACCTCGGAAGAGCGGGCGTAGGTGGCAGGGCACGCTGAGCGGAGCTCAGGGACCGACCCAGCTCTTCTGTCTCTGTGTTTGTGTCCACCTCAGGAAGCCCAGGTGACGGTGGAGTGCGCCATCCCCCAGAGGTTCCATCGATCTGTCATGGGCCCCAAAGGCTCCAGGATCCAGCAGATCACTCGGGATCACAATGTCCAGATCAAGTTCCCAGACAGAGAGGAGAACCCAGGTGGGTCCTGCAGTGCGACGGCTGCCGCCCAGGGTGGCCACACAGGCTGGCGTGCACTTCCCTGGCGCCTCTGCCCTGCCCCTTGCTCAGTGCTGGTGGTGCTTGGACCCCAGCCGTGGAGCCCTGATCTGGAAGGTGGCCCAGGTCAGCCAGCGCTCATGGGGGACAGGGCTTATGGGCAGCCGTGGGCAGCTGGGGTTTGCAGGGTCAGCCCTGAGACGTTGTCTGGGTTCAAATGTGTGTGGGCAGCCTCTTCCCCTGCTGCACAGCACAGTAGGCTGTGTCCCATCTGTCACCTGGTTGTGCTTGGGGACCTGACAGTGGGAGGAGTGCCGCAGGATGTGCACCCTCTTGTGGACTCGTCCTCGCGGGCCCCGTTTGGCCTCAGGACCTTGCAGCCAGCTGCGTTCACTCAGTGTCACTAGCGTGACACCCACAGGGCCTGTCACATGCAGCCATTGCAATCCCCCTACCTCACTTGGGCTGCTTTGTGGAGGAAGCCAGCTGAATCCTGTTGCCTGTGTGTCCACAGTCACACCTGGACGGCCAGCTGCACAGACCCGTCCAGGTCACAGCCTGCGACCTTGCCCACCCCTGCATCCACGGAATTTCCACAGCGGGTGTCCCTTAGGTGGCTGTGACTGGCACACCTGGTCCCACCTGGTCTGTGTTCTGCGGACGGGCCCCGTGCTCCTGGCCTCCCGCTGCCTGTTCAGAGGCAGCTTACTGGACCAGCTGTGTGGCCTGTGCTCAGCTGCACACGCAGGGCTGCTCGTACTCTCACACACTGCGAGCCTCGTCCACTCCTGTGGTGTCTCACAGCCCCTGTGAGACCTGCCGTCTGCCCTCCCTGCCCAGACCTCGGCTTGGAAGATGAATGGACCTTCCCTCCCTTTCCCACGCTCACATAGCAGGCGCTTGACAAATAGCAGTGACAAGCAGAGGTGACACCTCTCCTCTCCCCAGTCCCCAGCACAGAGCCAGCTGTCCAGGAGAACGGTGAGGAGGCCGGGGAGGGCAGAGAGGCTGAGCCTGGCTCTCCACGGAGGTGCGACATCATCGTCATCTCTGGCCGAAAAGAGAGGTGTGAGGCAGCCAAGGAGGCACTGGAGGTGCGTGGCCTCCCCAGGGGCTGGGCAGCTGCCCTGGTGACCAGGGCACTTGGTTTCTTCACTGTGGCCCTGAGGTGTAAGCACAGGGCCCCGGCATCACGGAAGGAGCAGCCACCTCAGGCTCGTTACGACCGTGAGTGGTTGTGGCGTTGAACATTTATTGAGTGCCACCCACGCTGGTCCTGGTGTGAACACTGTGACACCACGGTGTATCTGCCTCAGAAGGACAGAGACTCCAGCTGTAGCGCTCACCTGCAGAGGTGATGGGCGCAGGGCAGTAGCTGTCAGACCCAAGTGGGGCCGGGCAGGCGACCCGCCGTCAGGAGGATCCCACAGGGACCTCGGATGTGTAGGAGCCGGGCTTGGAGGCTGCATGCCCTCCCTGGGGGCCTCAGGCCTGCTCTTCAGGAGGGCACTGCCAAGGCTGAGCCCTGTCCTGTTCCTGCTTTCCATGGGTCAAGGTCTGGTTAGCTTATCAGGGCACAGGGCAGGAGGGACAGGGCCCTGAKCTCAGGCCCTCTGCTCTCGGCCCAACCTTGCCCTTCCCACAGGCTCTGGTTCCTGTCACCATCGAGGTGGAGGTGCCCTTTGACCTTCACCGTTACATCATTGGGCAGAAGGGAAGCGGAATCCGCAAGATGATGGACGAGTTTGAGGTAGAGTTCCTTCCAGGCTGTCATGGAGGTGGGCTGCACACGACAGCTCCCTGGGGACGTGCAGGGGATGTGCCCACGGCTCCAAAGCGCTGCCATCCCTTGGGGACCCTTGGCATCACCTTCTTCTGCTCTAACCTCCTTCCTGCCCTCCCTCTGGACCCCCAGCCTGGGCTTGTGACCTGGGGCCAGCTGCTGACACCTGCTGCCTGGCCCGACACCATCCCTGCTCCCAACTATACAGGTGAACATTCACGTCCCAGCTCCTGAGCGGCAGTCTGACGTCATTGCCATCACCGGTCTCGCTGCTAATCTGGACCGAGCCAAGGCCGGGCTGCTAGAGCGCGTGAAGGAGCTGCAGGCTGAGCAGGAGGACCGGGTGAGTGGGGCCGGGCAGGATGCACCCCCAAGGGACCTGGACCAGAGAGCCCTGTGGGAGGAGCCAAGGGCCAGGCAGTCTTCCCCGTTACGACAAGAGTTGGACCACTGCATTAATTTGTGATTCCAGGAGAAACATTGTGGTGCCTCAGGCCCTGTAAGGAATGTGGCCAGCAAGCCCAGGACTCCCTGCTGTGCAGTGGGGCAAGACTCCTCCTCGCCCCAGGCACAGTGCCACGTGCAGGGTCTGAGCGCCACCTGCATGTGAGAGGGTGGTCGGGGGCCTGGAGCAGATGCCACTGTGGGAACAGGGCCCACCATAGGGACGGTTGCCGCTCACCCGGGGAGTGTGCTCAGGCCAGCCCAAGCTCCCGGGCCCTCTGTCCTAGACGTGGCGGCTKCCTCTTCCTCGGCTTCTCCTTAAAAGTCCAGTGGGTCTCTTCACATCAGCCCTCAGAGCCCGGCAGGCCAGCCCGGGAGAGTGCTGATCAAGGGTGCCAACCCCAGGCACCTCGGCTTTCTCAGAGCAGCCAGCGTCTCTGTGCTCGCTCTCAGCTGTGGGTGGGGGTCAGGCCTGGATCACTGGCAGAGGGCACTGTAGCAAGGTGCGTGTGGCTGAACGGCCTCTSCCTCACTCTCTTTCTAGGCTCTACGGAGTTTCAAGCTGAGCGTCACTGTAGACCCCAAATACCATCCCAAAATCATCGGAAGGAAGGGGGCAGTGATCACCCAGATCCGGCTGGAGCACGACGTGAACATCCAGTTTCCGGACAAGGACGATGGCAGCCAGGTGAGCGTGAGCATGGTGCTGGGACTCAGTGGGCTTCCCTGACCTTGCCGTTGACCTGGAAGCAGTAGCCAGACACGCTCCAGCCAGGCGCCCAGCTGGGGTCAGGGATGAGTTCACAGAGCAGGTCTGAGAATCTGATCTGGCTTGAGGTGTGACCACATCTCTGCCCCTCGACACGGGTGTCCCTGGGGACCTTGGGCGTTTCCCTGTGCCCACTTGTTCAGTCTTGGCAGGCAGGAGCCCCAGCAGGTCCTTCTTAGGCCATCATGCTTGTCCACCAGCTCCTAGGGCCCTGGGAGCAGGTGGACCTGAGACACCAGGGTGCAGCTCCTCTGTAGCCTATGGCCTCCTCACTGCTGGCTCAAGACGAATCAGAAGGCAGATCCCGCTCCCACCTCCGGCACTGGACTTTCCTGCCTCACCCTCAGGTCCATTTCCAGCTTGGTCCTGCCCAGATGTTGGCCATCCTGCCCTCAGGCTGGGCCTCTCTGGGTGGCCCCGGCTGCCCTGCGAGATCTCTGCTTGCTGGCGTGGGCTGGTTCTTCTAGCACACCTTGGGCCCAGCAGGACCTGCCCACAGAGCACCAGCAGCAGCTCACCAGGCCCTGCCCACCTCAGCATGTCCAGCAGGGCCCCCTGGCCTGCCCTACTTCTTATTCCACTGGCCCTTGCATTCCTGGCTCCTGGTTCTGACTGCCCTGGTGCCCGTGGGTTGGCTGCCACCATTTTCCCCTAACTACCAGTTTTCAGGTTAGATGTGGAGCTCAGCCGCTCTGGCCAACACCCACAAACTGCAGGTGGAGCAGGCACAGCTGTCCCCTGCTGGGCGTGGCCAAGCTGGGCTGCTCCCGTCAGGGRCAGATCCTGCCTCCCTTGCCCCTTCCCGCTGGTTCTGTCTGCCCTGGTGTCCCCTCCAAAGTCTGTGGTTCTCCGCTGGGTCTGTCCCTCACTGGGACCAGTTCTTCCCTGTCCTGAGGACCAGCACTGCAGCTCCTCCTCTGCTTCCCATCTGCCCACTCTTCTGGAGTCCACACTCCTGCTGGCCCGTCTTTATCAGCAGTGTCCTTTCTGGTCCTGTGTTGGTTGTCTGGTGGACACAGTGCTGAGTGCCCTCAGCCTCCTTCCTTCTGGAGCTGATGCTTATTTTTCAGGGCAGTGTAGACGCCTCGGCCCTCCAGCCGCTGCCTCGGGAGCCCAGCAGGACGCCCCCTTCTCTGACTGCCTGCTCCTCTTTCAGCCCCAGGACCAAATCACCATCACAGGGTACGAGAAGAACACAGAAGCCGCCCGCAACGCCATCCTGAAGATCGTGGGTGAGCTTGAGCAGATGGTCTCTGAAGACGTCCCGCTGGACCACCGTGTCCACGCCCGCATCATTGGCGCCCGAGGCAAAGCCATCCGAAAAATCATGGATGAATTCAAGGTGAGTCCCCGGWGTGGCCAGAAGCCCGGGAATGAGAAAGTGCACATCCTCCTTGGATGCCCGTGGTCACCGACTCCTGCGCCCCACAGGGTTAGGGCACCTGCAGGCTGGCAAGCCAAGTGGTGCGTTTCTCCAACATGGTGTCTCGGGGACCCCATGCCCCTGAGCCCCCCCCCCATGCAGGGGGGGACGAGCACCGAGAGCAGGGACGAGCACCGAGAGCACCTTCACCAGGACACTCCTGGAAACGGGCCTCCCTCGGCCCCTGGGCTAACATGTGCTCCTTCCAGGTGGACATCCGCTTCCCACAGACTGGAGCCCCAGACCCCAACTGTGTCACTGTGACAGGGCTCCCGGAGAACGTGGAGGAGGCCATCGACCACATCCTCAACCTGGAGGAGGAATACGTGAGTCGGGACCCGGGGAGGCAGCCAGGGCAGCTYTGCGGCAGTGGCCCTCAGGTGCTGCTGGCCTGGGCTGATGCCTGATGAGACGCCCCTCCCTGTCCCACAGCTGGCCGACGTGGTGGACAGTGAGGCTCTGCAGGGCTACCTGAAGCCCCCCGTGCACGAGGAGTCCAAGGCCCCCTCCAAAGGCTTTGTGGTGCGGGACGCGCCCTGGACTGCCAGCAGCAGTGAGAAGGTCAGCGGCCTCTCTCCCTCTGCTCCATGGCCCTGGGGCGGGGGGCAGGGGGGCGGGGGGCGGGGGATGGGCCGCCGGCCAGCTGGCAGGCCCTGGAGGCCATGTGGGTGCCCTTGGACCCCAGGCTGAGGCTGCTTCTCCTCTCCACAGGCTCCTGATATGAGCAGCTCTGAGGAGTTTCCCAGCTTTGGGGCTCAGGTGGCCCCCAAGACCCTCCCTTGGGGCCCCAAACGATAATGATCAAAAAACAGCACCCTCTCCAGCTGCTGAGCAAACCCGCCACACAGTTGGTCTCGGTCTGACCCAGCGGCAGGGCCCCAATTGCTGACGCTCCCCCCTCCCGAGGTCTCGCAGTGAAGCCTGACGGCCGGCCCTGTCACCACCTCCCCAGGCCTGGTCGTCACCCAGCGGGCTCAGGGGCTGCCCCTGGGTGGTGCCCCAGGACAGGTGCCACCATGTTGAACACTAAGCAGAGGTCATTGCGCATTTGTGGTAAGACTCCAGCTTCCTGGTCACCCAGCATGCGGTCAGCACTGACCTTCACCAGAGCTCCACAGCAGCGGCTCGGAGTCGACTTCCTGTGTCATGACCTCAGGAAATAAATTTCCTTGACTTTATAAAAGCCAAACGTTTGCCCTCTTCCTTTCCCACCTCCCCTGCCCACTGCCTGTCCCCCGGACCCTCTTTTTGGTGGACTGCAGCTGGCCTCTGGCTGAAGGGTCTGCTCAGCACAGGGAGCAGGTGGGAGGAGTGCCTGGCTTAGACAGCGGGAGGCCCAGGGCAGCCTGGGCCCTACGCCGCACCCGTGAGCCTGCTTCAGGTGCGACAGTACCAGGGCTCCTGGTGCCTCCTGGGCTCCGGGGTCTGTGGGTGAGCCTAGAGGTGAAGCCGTGTGAGTGTGTGCCCCTGGGCCCTGTGGCTCGCATCCAGTGGAGATGGGAGCTTGACACTCCACTCCCCGGCTCCGTCTCAGCAGTCTTCTTTCTACCTCAGCTGGTGTGTGGGGGTCTTGAGCAGGAGCCCGGCTGCGGAGCTGGGGACAGGAGCTGCGTGCCAAGGCTGGCGCCCTCCAGGGGGCGCTGTTCCTGCGGTGGAACTGCCCCCAGGGCCCAGGTTCCCAGTCCTGGGGCAGGTTTCACTGTCGCTGGGCCAAGGAGTAAAGCAGGAGGACCGCAGGACTGGGTGCTGAGAGCTGCTGGCCAAGGAGGGCCTGGGCGTGACAGGGGCCCTCCGCTGGCCAGGCTGAAGGGCCCTCAGGAGGGAAGGTGGTCCCGGGCAGCAGCGTCCGGCCCAGCCACCCTGTGCCCCTCCAGGCCTTCTCTGGAGGTGCTGGGCCCACTCACTCCASTCACTCAGGCTTGGCCATCTTGAACCCCAAGCTCTGGGACTGCCCAGAGCTGCTTCTCCCAGGTCTGCCTGTGGCTCCAGGAGCTCAAGCCGCCTCGCGTGCCGTTGACAGGCCAAACCCAGGCGGGGAAGGCCTCTGCTTCTCCAGAGGCCAGCAGCCTTCGGTGGGTTGGGATGACCYGGGGCAGGAGGCAGGGACTCTGCCTTCCCAGGGGCGGGGAGGCCTTGCAGGGAGGGCTATGGCCCTCCGTCTGCATGTGCTGGGGCGCTTTCCCGTGGAGCCCTGGGCTTCCTGGCCCCCACACCACCTCTGGCCTGCCCTGTGCTCTTGCTTCTTTCCTGCAACACCCTCCTGCAGGGCCCAGCCCTCCCCTCCCAGGAGACGGCCCTGTCCTCACAGGGCGAGCCCGGCATCTCCATGTTGCTGAGTTCCGTCGACGCAGGTCCTYGAGCCGCTCAGGGTCCCGCACCCCTCTCCCTTGGTTGTCATAAAGACTGAGATGACTGTACCCATGCCACGGGAGGCCCTTCCTGCGGCTGAATGTCTTCCTGTTCCGTCTCTGTAGCTGCGTTCATCCCTCGGCCTTAACTTTTGCCATTTGGAAATGATATGCAAACACCTGTAAAGGCTCGTGAATATGGATGACACTGGAATTTTATAGATTCTAAAATAAAAGCCGGAATCAGATGCATTGCGTGTTCTGGTAACTGTGGTGGGTGGCAACATGCTGGGTGGTCCTCCCAGCGAATCCCAGCACTGAGCACTGTCCCCACCTCTCCAGAGCCACAGTGGGGGAGCCGGCGCTGCCCGCACCCCACCCAACTGCTTCCGCTAGCTCAGGGTGCTGCCTGCCTTCTCTGCACCGGCACTCCCAGCAGGGCCCCCAGCACCCAGGCACCAGGGGGCCCAGCGCGAGGGTGGCCAGGAGGAGGTCACTCCAGCCCCCACGGGGTGGGTGAGTGTGAGGAGCCAGTGGCACCCCTGCTGCCAAGAGGACAGGCCCCCACCTGTGACAAGGACCTAGGGACCCAGTGGTCCCACTCCTAAGCTCACTCCCTGCAGCTGGGCCCACGCTGTGTGTGACCAGTGAGGCAGCCCAGTGAATGGCCACCGAGACACCCACACCCCAGGAGGCTGCCGTAAGTGAGGGGGCCCYGCAGCCCCCGTGGTGGGTGGGAGAGCCGGGGTTCCAGGCTCTCGTAGGCCCCGGCCCACCCGTGCTGGTCCCGACAGCGCGTCCACACGAGATCCCTGTCCGGGACGGCAAGCTCTTGGCGTTCCTCTAAGTCTGCCTTAAGATTTGAGCTGAAGATGGCCGTGACAGAAAGAAGCACCAGCCGGTCGCAGGGCCACACCTGTGGTCCCAGTAACTCAGGAGGCTGAGGCAGGCGGGTGTTGAGTTAAAGGCCAGCCTCAGTGACCTAGTGAGACCCTGTCTCAAATAAAAAGTGTGGGGGTGTGGCCCAGCAATGGAGTGCCCCTAGATTCCACCCTCGGCGTTGAAGCAGAAAAGCAGGTCAGCGGAGCCTGGTGCTGGCTGGGTTCTCCACGCCCCCAGCACCCCTGGCGGAGGTGAAGAGGCGAGTGGACAACTGGCAGCTCACTGCTCAGCACAGGGCCCTGGTCTGAGGCCAAGGGTTGCCTTGGCTGAATGACACGTGGCTGAGGACCTTGTGTGTGAAGAAGTGTTTCCCAGGGGGACGCATGGCCAGGTCCCCGGACACCCCAGTCCCACTCAGTGCCCTCCCAGAGTCAGCCAAGTTGGGCCCGTGTCCACGGTGTTTATTCAGCACCATCTGTCATGGCAGAGGAAGGGACCTCAAAGGCAAGTGGACAGAGGTAGGAAAAGCGGGCATCACAGCAGCTGGCCGAGTTGGCAGAGGGCCAGCAGTGCCAGGTCAGAACTGCCCAGGGAAGCCACCCCATGCATGAGCCGGAAAGGTCTGCGAAGACCGCTGAGCACCACAGGACGCACTTCGTCCTGTGTCCTGGCTCATGGGGCTTGTGAGGGCAGCAGAGGGGCACCACGAAGGCCACCCCTGTAGCTGCAGGCCGCTGGCCTCAGGGACCCTGAGGGGTGTCCAGCGGGGCCCGTGACCTGGGGGACAGGAAGCGAGTTGTCTCCCTGGCGTGGTTAGAGCCCAGGACAGGCGCGGTGTCCTGCTCAACACACCCAGGCCCATCAGGGAGAGGYGGCCAGGGTCCCCCCTCGGGCGAAGGGGCAGGCTGTGGATGGACAGGCTGGGTGGAAGCGCTCGCCCCACACACTGCCAGTGCCTGCTCAGCCAAGTAATGCTGGATTCACCTTGAGCTCCCCGGCTCTGGGATATTCRAGACGTGGCCAACACAGGTCACCAGTGCTGGGAGGAGAAGGTCCAACCCCAGCCCTTGGCAGAGCCAATGCCCAGAGCAGCCTGCAGGGCGCAGGAGGCCTGGGCTCCAGCACCTGCTCC